CACGGTCGTCCGTGCGTGTTGGTTGAAGTTTGGGGGGGGGGGCGATTCAGATATCACTCGAACTCGCCACTGATGCTGGCAAGTGGCTTGATATGAATCGACTCCCGTTGCTGGGTTCATCGCGCGGTGCCCGATCCACCTGCACGCGTCCGCTCGGCGTTTCATTCTCAAAACGCTTTTGACTGTTCAGCGGGGGCTACCACCTCGCACGGGACCAGCGGCTACCTTCAGCTCAGACTGAACAGAGCGAGTGCATTTCAGAGGCGGATTATTCATATTGGCGGCGTAACCATTCGCATACCCTCCGCTCTGGGTTCAATTGTCGCGATGAAGTCTCATGCTCACCAGATTGTCCGGATTATAAAACGCTACTCCCCCTCCCCGCCTCCATATTTTAAAACGATAATTGAGGGACGCTTCCTAAAATCGGGCACGCGCGTGTGTGTGTGCGTAACCAGACTTGTTGTCAGATTAAGTTAATTTTATTTGTGGGAAATGAGCTTTGTAGCTCATCGGATTCCTCCAGTATAAATGCACGTTCTGATTCTACAAGGGAGACCCGTGGTGCGTTAGCACAGCGACAACAGAGCAAAGACACGAGAACGTCAACGATATTGCAGAGAGCGAGGACTGTGCATGCTCCTTAAGGGATATTGCACAATTAACAAAACGAGGTATTTAACGGTCGTAAACGAAACACACGCTAATAAAAAAAACCACAACAGAGTGATAGCCATATTAACACCGATAACACGCGCTTTGCTTACCAGAACGTCTTATAATCCGAAGAATACGGATATTAAATACAAGTATCGATGCTCTATTTTCCCGTGTTTACCTTCTCGTTTGTATTGGTTCTTTATACATTTATGTATTTCTGTCTCGTTTGTGCAAACGTGCGCTCCATTATCCTAAATGTAACATAAGCATGCCATCATCAGCCATGCTCTACCTACTGTTGCCTTAATAAGCTAAAGTGTAGAAACTGTGTCCAACGATCTGGCCTCTAATAATAATAATAATAGTTCAATTTGTAACGCGCGAAAATTTGCAGACGTAGTGGCCGCAACTCAGAGGCGCGGAGCCAAGCTCAGAGTCGCTCGAAAGCGTGATTGTAGAGGTGAGTTTTTAAGTGTCTCTTGAAGGAGGCGATTGAGGTGATGCTGCGAATGGCGGCGTAACCATTCGCATACCCTCTATGTGCTGTGAAGGAGGGTTCTAGCCCGAAACGTCACCTGGTATAGACTTTTTATGAAGTCAGTGTTTTTTTGTTTTGACGAAGGCGTTGACGTTTTTCTGGTGCATGCATACTCGCGCTGGTTCTGAAGTTACGATATCGGAGAGGATGGAGAGTATGTCGGTAACGTGGCACGACGAGAACCAGGACGATACCGTTGAGGCCTCTTTTTCACGGGAGATCTGGATAAACAACCTCACACCTCGGCGCTAACTATTCGAAACGCAGATATTAATAAATACATAGCACGGGTGCCATTATTTATTCAGTAGCATAGAAGGCGTGATCAAATATGCAGCATCGACAGCCTGAAATTAACGCGCATGATCTCGCTTGGATAATAAATAATGTCCACATTCAGGCATCGCTCATTATTCTTAATCAGCAACAGCAATGATTTATCCACTGCTGGATGAAGGCCTCCTCCCCAAGCCATCGCAAACGTCTCAGAGCATGTATATATTGGCATTCAAATCTGTTAACATTCCTACATTCCACTAGTTTTTATCAAGGCCAAGCGATTCCATCGCTTTGCCCTCCCTATCTTTTCGCCGAAGAAGGGCAGTTGCTTGAAACGTCGGTCCACTATTAATCGCCATCTCCCACGTCCTTGGCGAAGCAGCATTCCATTGTAGCTCTTTGCGCATGAGCTGATTTCACCCATCGTTAACGCGTTAGAGAAACACGCCGCAGGCGAGATAGGCATTGGTGGATCCGGGGTGAAGGGGGCGTGATGGTGATGGAGGCAATCGCCATCACCCCCCTCCCCACCTCTCCAAAATCGGGTCCGTGAAAATTGACTAGTTATTGATATTGAGCAGATTAAATAATGCAATGTTTTATTTGTTTATTATTAATGTAGGGCCATATACATTTTTAAAGCTCCATATTTCAGGCCAGCTCCTTACCCTCTTGGGATGATTGTAGATCCCGCGTCTGAAGCTTGGTCAATCAGAATATGTATCTACACTGGAGGAAGCCGATGAGCTTCCGAGCTCATGTTCACAGACGTAGATAGAGCATGGCTGATGATGGCATGCTGATGTTACATTTAGGATAATGGAGCGCACGTTTGTACAATATGAAACTAATCGCACGCGCGTTCGGCAAAGTGTGACGACCCCTCCCCCCCCGTTTTTTTTAAGCTTCCGAGTCTCATCCCTCGAAATCCTCCACGTGTCAGCTAGTGTTACGCAGGGACCCGCGTCACGGACCTCTCGGCTGTGGTTGTTTGGAACGACGTTTCTGATCGGTGCCGTTGGAGATTCACTCAAAGCTTCTCCTATCTTCTTGGTTCTTTCGGTAAAGTCACGTAGAATGGAAATAATAAAATAATAAAAATTAAACATAATACAATAATAAAACAATATAACGAAATAATATAGAAATATAATAAAATATAATATATTTAATATTTTATTATGTAAAGTTATTATTATTTAATTATTTCCATTCTACGTGACTTTACTGAAAGAACCAAGAAGATGAATCCCTGCAGTCACGAAAGCTTTAAATCGAAATTTTACATCTCCTCCTATTCAAAAACCCACCTCTACCCGAGTTGGATTCTCTGCCACGGCTGTTCATGAGTGTCGAGGGATGTCTGCACCGCTCTTGCTTGCTCCGGAGAGGCAATTTCACCGACCGGCGTGGTGAAGTATGGTCAAAGAGCCCGTACATCCGTCAAGTCGTGGAGAGAGAGAGAGTGGCCTTCATCCAGCAGTGCACTGGGAAAATGCCTGTTCAATGCATTATTTTCATTGCCAATAATATGCATATACAAAGACATCTTCCAATGCGTCTGGACAGCGTAGAAGAGTAGGCCAAATACCCTTCAGCCTCACCAGCACGCCGCGCAAAGCCTAACTAACTGGTATTTAAGGGCTTGCATCTTGAATTTTTTTCCTCACTTAATACAGTAAATTCAGCTGTGACGGTCCCACCTGATGAGGGAGACTTGTGTTGCCTCCGAAACGTCGTAATTTATTATTTTATTTCTATTATATTTTTATTTATTTTTTACCTACGTGACTTTACCGAAAAAACCTAAGGGTATGAATCATCGCAGTCACGAAAGCTTCAAATCTAGGACCCAACTGCCGCCTCCAATTCTCTGCGATCGGAACAGCCCGGGTGGATGGATCGCCCATGGAGTGTGCCGATAATGATTTCGTTGCATGCTTTGGTCATCCCCGCCCGCTCCGCAAAAAAGAAAGACAGCTGACTGCTGACGCCCCCCCCACCCCCGTCAAATCACGAGCGCGAGCACTCTCTCACTCAAAGGCAAAGATCCCCCGTGTAGCCTTTAACAGACTGTAGGGGCAAGTGCTGTTAGCGAGCACCTATGACGGCCAGAACGGCGCACGGAGGGGGTGGGTGGCCAGAACCACGCCCGGCCGCCTTTGTCTCCCCAGTGGCGATGTTTTTTTTTACGCACCGCACCCAGGTACTCATTTGAGGCTGAGTCGACCTAGGGGAGGCCCAGAACCGGTGCAGGTAATCGTCACCAGCGTTGGCCGTGAGCGGGAATCGCGCGCTGACCGCAAACACCACCGCTCACACTCTCACACCGACAGGCGGGACGGTGAGTCGTAATTGAAACGTGACATCCCTTAGAACAAACACGAATAGATGACATGGTTATTGGGAGGGACGGTGTGGAGGCGTGGGGGAGCGGTGCCGCAGTGCCTTCAGGTTCAATTCCCGGTCACGGCTAACACGGGTGGTGAGTGATACCTGAACCGATTCTTGCGCCGTCCCTAGATGGGTCTACTCAGCCTTAATCGAGCACCTGGTGCGGTGTGTAAACATCAAAGGCGGACGGGTTTGACTAGGTGTTTCGTCAATTGTACGTGTCCCCATATATTTTTTATTTAGTTGGTTAAGCACGTCAGTATTTTTCGCGAATTATTACTACTTCACAGAAGCGTATAGGGGAGGCCTTCATCCAGCAGTGGATTGATCATGGCTGAGACGGATGAGGATGGTTTTTATTTCCACTGCCGTAATTTGTTCTGGACTTATTGTGGGTCTACGTGCGTATATTTGTGCACGTAATGCGCCGATATGGCCTTAATAGGTGCTCGCAAACAAAGCACTCGCCCCAACATTCTACAGGATGGTCCAGGTGTATTGTGACCCCCATTTCATTATCTAAAACGTAAACAGAAATGAAAATGCAAAGGAAAGAAATGTTAGGCGGTCAATTAATTGGGGGTCACTCGACAGCTGGACTACCCTGTACAGTACATATGAGGCTATTTATATAAAAAAAAACTCACAAAATTCTAGATTTGAAGCTTTCGTGACTGCAAGGATTCATACTCTTAGGTTTTTTCGGTAAAGTCACGTAGGTAAAAAATATAAATAAAATTAATAAAAGTAATAATAGAAATAAGATAAAATAATAAATCACGACGTTTCGGAGGCAACACTGATGACGGAGACTTGTGTTGCCTCCGAAACGTCGTGATTTATTATTTTATTTTATTTCTATTATTACTTTTATTAATTTTAATTAAATTTTTGACCTACGTGACTTTACCGAAAAAACTTCACAAAATATGTAATAAGCGACGTTTTGGGCAGGGGCCCTTCATAGTCGATGGATGGCCCTCCTTAACAGGACGCAAGGGCGCACACATTGGGTGGGGGAATGTTTGTCTTCGCGGGGGTAGGGCTGGGCCGTGCTCGCGATTGGAAGCTGACAGCAGCCGCTTCGTGCGCTCCAAGCTCCTCCCAAGCATAAAGCCTCCGTGGGTCTCTGCTCCGGGCTCCAGAGTGAGTTCGCCACCGTGGTGTCGTGTGTGTGTGTCCGTCTGCTATCCGCGGGATGTGTGCTCGCCTCCCTCCTGGTGATGTGGTGCCCCAGAACCTTTGAGCAAGGTAAGACAGGGGTGGGTGGGTGGGTGGATGGTGCTGCGGTAGATGCTCGCGAACAGCACTTGCCCCGGCAGTCTGTTAAGGCTATACGGGGGAGCTTTGTCTCTTTTTTTTGGGGTGCTGATTTTCTTATCGTTTTGTGTTCTTTCCTTTAAAACGTTTCGTTTCCCCCCCCCGCCCCCTTGTTTTAGTGATGTAGTTTGCAATCGGTTGTGCCTCGCGTGTATGGTGTGTGTGTGTGTGCGGGGGGATAATGTTATATGGGCAGTTAAACATAGCACGGTGTGTTAATGTGTAACTAATTTCGTAAGGGTGCTTACACAATGTATTGCCGTGATGAGTGTAATGCCGCACACGTTGTAGAATATCAGTTTATATGTTTGTATAGACGTATCCACTTCACCCAGTAAACATGGAACGTTGGGCTAACATTGGTCCAACAGTTCCAACCACATGCCAAATAAAGTGGGCACATCGTCGCATGTTTACTGTGTTTTGCGAGGGTGCAACTCAGAAGGCAAAGTAATTGATAATGTTGCTTAAGTATTCCCTCGATCCACTCAGCTTTTATGAATGGGTACACCACAGTCGATGAGCAAGCAGGTCGTATGCCGTAGGATGAAGCTTGGGTACATCACCCACGTCTTCCAATGCGTCCGGCCAGCGTTGAAGAAGTTACCAAATACCCTTTCTAGGGGGGCAAGGGGGGTCCATAGTGCTCCCTCTCGAGGAGGCCGTTCCGCCAGCAGTGAGGCGAGCAAAGCCGTTTCAGGGCTGCACCTTCAGTGTTTCGTATCGTCTACACACTCGCACTACACTCATGCTTTATGAACTGTTCAACTTCATACGTTGCAGGGTGATTTGTACGTCGGGGATTGAGTGTTGTGTATTCGTGCCCTGTTTGTGGGTAAGCAGATGCGTCAGCTTTGGGTATTCTGTGGTCATTGATCTGATTAACATAAAACCTGTGTTTGCACTGTGGCTCAGAGGTGGGTGTTTACCTTTTGGCATTAGACTGTTTGCTATTTTAGTGTTTACCTGTGCTCTGTGTACACACGGTAATGGCAGAAGCATGCTTACCAGCTGTGCCACCCACCACCACTGGGCGCGTCTGGCTATCGGTTGCGTCTGTGTAGTAGGGCCAAGTCAGCATCGCCAGTATCAGTAGTGAGTTGGTTGCCTCTAGGACTTTAGCTTCGTCTAGACTCGTGTCAGACAATTAGTATATCGGGTGGCGTCGGAAATGTGTATTCTCTTGTTAATTGTATAAGCGAACACCTTGGTTTGCACAGCCAATACAATCAGATTATTTACGTGGCCTAACCCCAATAGAAAAAAAAACCCAATTAGGAGTCATTGTTAATTGTACGTTTCCATTTTGACTTCGGCATGTATAGCCCTTTGGAAATCACTTTCTGGATGAATGCCCCACCACGCTGTTTGTTGGTCAGAATGAAAATGAGACTCTTTATTTTAACCCTGGATGAATCCGATGAGCTGTGAAGCTCTTTATCGACAGATGTCCAGTCATTGAGGGGAGTGTGTGTTTGTTTGGTCATACTTCACCATCTTGGTCCGTGCGGGTCTGGTGACGGAGGGCGGGCGGGCCCAGGACCGGTTCAGACTGATTCGCCACTGATGTTCGCTCCGTGCCATGGGGATCTAACTTAGGTCGACGGGTTTATAACGGCAGTGTTGCTAATCACCGCGCCACCGCTCCCTCGTAATTTTATTTAAGTTGACATCGACGCGAGGACTTCACTTTGTCAGAGCGACAACTCGAACTAAGCCACTTGCATCGTACGGAAAACGACGATACGAGACATGCCATCGAATTGACTTGCGTGTCATTGGCACAGAAAGAAAACAAATATCCATACAGCTCTACGCATACACTGTGACAACACGAACCTTGACAAGCCCATGTGGACTAGTCTTCCTTGCACGTGAATGTACGTGTACCGTACCTTCTGTCAATCCGCTGTTGGATGTCGTGCGGGGAGATATTTTGACCATACTTCACCGCACCGGTCATTGAGCGATGGCGAAGGCGGGGAACATATAAGCACAGTACAACAATCCCAGTTTGTTCTAACTCTACCTTCTGCCCACGACGTATGCCCCGCAGCCCCAAATGACAACCGGTTTGTGCACGATGTCAGTCGCCCATCCGTGCGCTATCCAGGCTTGAAATACCTGCTTCAGCTGTCCCGAGGTGAAATGAGACCGAGCGCGATTTCCAGGTGATTTGATGGCCATGGACTTGCAATGCGAGTGTCGGACCAGTGCCGGATTATCCTAGTCGCAAAAGTAGCAAAAGTAGCTACATATGCAGTAGCTACAGCAATTACTACACATATGTAGCTACTACATGTAGCTACTACATATGTAGCTACGGGCCCCGCACTTTCAAGGGCCCCGCGCTAAATGCTTTCAAGCTATCAATTCCGTTTCAGTGATTCTGCACTTGCTCTATTACTATAGTACTATACTGCCTTCAACTTTTACGAACGACTGGGTGTTTAAGGTTAGCGATTTGTCGCATTATCTGCCTGTATAGCAAATGCAAAAATGCAATCACTTTACTATGCAAGTTACATTTTGGTGTTTTAATGTTTACGTTTTTTTTAATTTAGGGCCCCTTTATAACATATGCTACAGGCCCCGCACGAGCTTAATCGGGCACTGTGTAGGACAAACCATATTCAAGGGCATCGCCGGACACACGTGTTGCTACGTGTGTGATTCCAAGCTGGTTAATATACCGGCGCTCCACGAACGCGTAAAGCTCATTATCGCACAGCGTTGGTTCTTTGGAAGCATTTCGGAAATTATACCGTATTCTCCTGTATTTAAAGAAAAAAATTGCGGGGGGAGGGGGTGCGTCTTACTTTCAAGAGCATCGTATAATCCGGAGAATACGGTAACATAAGTAGACACGCACACCTCCGCGTTGTCTATCAACAGATGTCACCTACACACACTGTTCCAGTCTATATCCATTCGATAGGAGAGTCTTTCCGGAGTCTGTCCATTGGCTAGGAGGGGTCAGCAAATCTCGTCGGATGCCGCGATTGCTCGCTCAGCACTTGCAGCCCCAGTTTAAACTTTCGGGGAACCCAGCACGGTGTGATGACGACGACGACGATGCGAATCATCGCTTACTCTTTGATGCCCCTGCGGGCTGTTGTCTTGGCTGAGAATTCACCCATCGCCTGAAAACAAAACGATGCCCATCGTGGTGGGCACACATCAGCGGTGTTAGTGCTCGCACACGAGACTTGCTTGCCGAAAGGTCGTTGGTTCGACCTCCTGGCGCGGCAATTTAACCCCCCCCCCCAACACCACCACCACCTTGTCGCCCCATCCACCCAGAAATATCCATCGGTACGCGCTGGGTCGATCGGCAGGTGGCGTATGGTGGGGTAAAGCGTGGATACTCGAGCACTTCCAAAGAAACACCTCTGTACGTATGTTGAACTTCTTTCGCACCGTACATAGCCAACCGTGCGAATCGGAGGTGAGGAAGAGTAGGCCAAATACCCTACAGAGGGGCTTTCTTGAGCTACCTGTAGTGGAGGTCCTTCTGCCAGCATTGGCGTGAGTAAGTATTTGCAGGGCTGCATCTTTGCCTTTTTTTTAGCTCGACAGTACGGTATGCATCATCAAGAACAGTGTTGATTTGTTTTTAGATGGTCCAGTCTTGTGGCTAACAGTTTATTTCACGTTAACTGTTGTGGGTGATTTTCAAAGTTGAGGCAATCGGACCCATAACGTCGAGACGAAACGTTCTTTTCTTGACAAAAAAAGATGCTGTGTGTGCGAGTCTTTTCGCGTCTTTTCAAAGTCTGCTAATGTACACAAAGATGTGCAATAAAGATTGCGAGCCAACAGGCATAACCTGTGAATGCGCGCAGCTATGCCAGCTACGCTGCGTATGACGGATGGAATGCAGTTGTGGATGAACATGGAAAGATTAGCGGAGTCGTCACTTCCAGTACAGTATTCGACGCATCTTGGATATCAAAGATGTGCACAACAAATGTTTTGGCCAGAAAACGGCAGGTAGGTGATGGTAGTCATAACAATAACCAGGGCTGAATTTCTCACTGAAATATATTTAGTTCGAAGTGACTAGTAGCACACGATTAGTTGTCACAGCCATCACGAGAGGTATACTGAATGTGCTGTGCCGGGTTGCGGATATAATTCCCAGGTCACTGACCTGGATAGACTCGGCTCAAATGATGCCCTGATTGTATCCTGATGCTGATAATAATAATGTCCAGGCCTTGGTCAATCCACTACTGGATGGAGGCCTGCCAACACTATGTCAGTCATGGAGGTTGTTTGACCATACTTCGCCACACTGAGCACTGTGGGTTGAAGAAGCAGGAGAAGTGTCAAGACCAGTTCAGATATCACTTGTCACTTTCGTTAGCCGTGGCTGGGATTCAAAATCAGGTCACCAGGTTTTGTGGCACACTGCGCTAACCACTGCGCCACCGCTGCACCCCAACAATCCAAATGGAACGTGCCATTTGGACTATGGCCAGAGGGGGTGGGTGAGAAAGATGAGTATTCTTAGGTTTTTTCGGTAAAGTCACGTAGGTACCGAAAAAAACCTAAGAATATCAATCATTGCAGTCACGAAAGTTTCAAATCTAGAATTAAGAGAAAGATGAGCCCACCGCAGTAATGAAGAGTGAACAGGCACTTTGGCCTCAATCAGCAGCCCTCACTGAGGTTTGTACCCAGACCATCGCCTTAGCAGTGGGGCATTGGAACAGCTCTGTGGGTGGGGGGCAAAGGTTTCATTCTAAACACAGCCTCCGTACCAATGGTCCGTTCACCTGCGGTAACACTCGAGATCTGAACTTCAACCTGAAAACCAGCCAACAGTGGACATACCAACAATATATGTGCAATATATTGTAATGCTTTACAACGGGGATGAAAGAACCTAAGCCTTAGCTCTGGCTGTCATTCCATGGGGGGCGAAG